AATTTTTATTTATTTTTAAATTAATTTATAGCTGACAAAGATTGTATATATTTAAGGTGTACAATAATGTTTTGATACATGCGTACATTGTGGAATGGTTAAATCAAGCTAATATATTCATCACCTCACATACTTGTTATTTTTTTGTTGTGAGAACATTTAAGATCTACTCTCTTAGCAATTTCCAAGTATACAATACATTATTATTAACTATGGTGACCATGCTGTATAACAGATCTCCCTACGTCTGTTTTAAATACAGTCATGTGTTGCTTAACAAACGAGATGTGTTCTAAGAAATACATTGTTAGGCGATTTCATCTTTGTGCAGACATGATAGAGCGTGCTTACACAAACCCAGATAATATAGCCTACTACACACCTAGGCTATATGGTATAGCTTATTGCTCTAACCACTGTCCTAAATGTGGTCTGTCATTGACTGAAAGGTTGTTATGAGGTGCATGACTGCACTGTTTTACTCTGTTCAGGCTGCTATAACAAAATATCTTAGACTGGGTTACTTATACACAGTTCTGGGGGCTGGGAAGTCCAAAGTCAAGGTGCTGGCAGATTCAGTGTCTGGTGATGGCTCATTTCTCATAGATGGCACCTTCTTACTGTGTCCTTATATGGTGGAAACGGGTTAGCTAGCTCTCTGGGGTCTCATTTATAAGGGCACTAATCCCATTTATGTGGGCTGCACCCTCATGATGTAATCGCCTTTTAAGCCCTTACCTTCTAATATGACCACATTAGGGATTGGGTTTCAACATATGAATTTTGGGGGGGACACAAATATTCAGACCATAGCAAATACTATCATGAATGTTCAGTGTAATCCATTTTCTTTTTCACCTAAAGGTGTGGGACATGCCTTCTTACTGGAGAGAGCACCATATCATGTCCCTGGGGCGCATTGCTCTGGCTCTTAATGAGAGTGAGCTGGAGCAGCTGGACCTCAGCTCCATAGACACTGTGGCTTCCCTAAGCCAGCAGACAGAATGGTCCCTAGGACAGGTAGGTAGATGTTGCTGGGTCTTTAAAATATTCCCTTTCTCTCTTAATTTTGCTTATGTTTTCCTTTATATCCTTGAATATAGTTATATTATTTATAATAGCTGTTTTCCCATCCTTGTTGCTAATTCCATCATCACTGTCGTTTCTGAGTCTGTTTCAACTGACTGATTTCTCTCTTAGCTGTGGGTCATATTTTTGTGCTCGTTTGCTTAGATGTACTTTGATTGGATGATGGGCATTGTGAATTTTACATTGTTGAGTGTTTGATTTAGCTGTATTCTTTCAGAGAGCATTGGGCATTGCTCTGGCATACATTTAAGTTATTTTCTTTTTTTTTTCCTTTTTGTCTTTTTTCGTGACCAGCAATGGATCGCAACCCTCAGTGTCCCGCCCGTAGCGGACCGGGACCAGCAACGGGATCGCAACCCTCGGTGTTGCACCCGCACCTCGCTCAGCCAGTGAGCGCCGGTCTGTATGTGGGATCCAAACCCTCGGCGGGAGCGCCGCCACGCTCCCAAGCAGCACACTGTAGCAGTGTGCCACCGGGCGGCCCAAGTTATTTTCAAACCAATTTGATCCTTTTCTTTTTTTTTTTTTCCTTTTTGTCTTTTTTACTGACTGGTAACGGGATCGCAACCCTCGGTGTTGCGCCCACACCGCGCTCAGCCAGTGAGCAGGAACCAGTGTCCACATGGGATCCGAACCCTTGGCGGGAGCGCCGCCGCGCTCCCAAGCAGTGCACTCTCCAGTGCGCCACTGGGCTGGCCCCAGTTTGATCCTTTTCATGCTTCCCTTTTCAGCTTTATTAGGTGAGTCCAGACGGACTTTCATTCTGTGGTTAATTTACCCCCGTTACTGAGACATGATTCTTTTGAGGACTCTACCTAATGCTCCATGTATTTCAAGATCTCTCCACTCTGGCTTGTGGGAATGTGAGCTATTTCCAACTCCATGTGCGCTCTGAATTGCTCAGCCTACTGCTTTCTGATGACTCTGTTCTGCCTGTGTGGAGTTTCACTCCTTGCGTGTGCAAATCAGCACTCAGTACTTGAAAAGACATCTCTACAAATTTCTGGAACTCTCTCTTTCTGTATAATTTCCTCCTTTCAAGTACTTTGCCCCAGAAATGATAGGTGCCCTCGCCTCTCTGAACTTGGATCTCTGTATCCTCAACTCAGCTGGACCACTGGGCTTGTTTGGTTTCCCCTTCCTGATCCATGGCCTGGAAACTGCCTTTGGACAGTAAGTGAGGGCAATCTTAGGGCTTGCTTTATGTGCTCTCCTTTCGAGATTATGCTCCTATGTTTTCCAATATCTAAATACAGTTGTCTTATATATCTTGTTCAGTTTTCTAGATGCTTATGGTGGGAGGACAATTCCTGTGTAAGTTAATCCTTCATGGGCTAAAGAAGTTCTCTCCAGAATTTTAATTGCTTTGATGGGGAGAGAAGTTTGGGGTGTCTAATCCACTGTACTGCTTGATAGAGAGGTACTGGCTCGTCCCTGTATCTTCATTCTCAGGCGGCTCTCTCTCAGTGGTCATTTTCAGCATGAGGCTTGTATAGTACCTAATTAGCAAGCCCAAAATATGCCTCTTCCTTATTAGTTTCTGAAAAAGTTCCAGCATTAACTTCAATTGTGTAGCTGGCCATCCCTGAACCATCACTGTGGTCAGAGGTAGAACATGTTGGTTGGCCAGGTCTACGTCAGGGAGTGGACTCCATCCCACCGTGACCACATGAGCTGAGAGTGGGGAAGG